GAACTCAGGCATGGCCATGTGACGTTAGCCAACAAAATGGGAGAAGTGATGTATGTTACATCTAGGCAGAAGCTTCTAAGTCCCAGTTGTTATCTCGGACACTAGAAACAGCAATGTTCCAACTGGCGATGTTCAGCCAGCCACTCTAGCTCCTGAACTGCAGGATCTCTAGCCAACCTACCAAAGGCTTATAGGAGCACAAGCGCACACCTGTAATCCCAGCACTCGGGAGGTTGAGGCAGGAGGATCGCTGTGAGTTCAAGACCAGCCTGGGCTACATAGTGAATTCCAGGTCAGTCTCAACTACATAGTGAGACCCTGTCTCAAAAAACCAAAAAAAAAAAAGCTTATAGGAGCACAAACACATCTATGCTGGAAGTCAATGGGTTTGTTACTGCAGCATTATGTGACTTATCCTTACCAGTACACCTTTAACTTTAGATATACTTCAGTGTATTTTTCTATCAATTCTAGAAGTAAACATCTATATTCTTCCTAAGATAGGATCCTGTCCATCTCCATCCATGTTAAACCTAGAATTTATTTGGAGTTTATTTTCTCATCTGCATTAAATTTATTTAGCATTTTCGGATTACCAAAACCCCTGATTATAAAGGCAACTGGCAGGAAACAAAACCAGAATTTTTCTGAAATCTGTTCAACGGTTTGAAAATCTTCTTTCATGGGTTCATTGTTGTTTGCTTAGTAACTCTGAGAAGAAGATTCCAAGTAATCTCCTTGCTGATAAATTCAATGCCAATCTGGTTTTGTTGTCTAATTTAAATATATGAGCACTTCCTATATTCTAATTACTTTTGTTCTCCTAAGATTCTCCCCTTTTATGTTGCTATTTTTCTTCAGGTTTGATGATTCCTGGCTGACTATAATTAAAGGCAAGGGCCTAAAATCAATTTTGAAGTGATTTCCTCAACCAAATGAAAATCTCGGCTCCCTTTCAGTGAATACAAATTCTGGTTTCAGGTACTTCTAGTCTCTACAAAGGAGAAGGGAGAGGACCATAGCCAGAGTGAGTGTGGATGGTTACACTTCAGTTTCTCCGTGTAGCCATTTGGGACAATGTCCTTATTCTCCAGTCCCAGTGAAGCCTACATTAGAACCCACCCTTCAGTTACCTGCTCCCTTATCTTAGCAAACTCCAAAACTCCAAGGATGTGTGCAACAGCTCAGATGTCAGACCACCGTATTAACCCATGCTGCAGGAGTTTTATTTAGAAATGCCACACTGTTCACTTTCTAGTTTCCATATCTGCTATGAGATTATTATTATTTTAGTTGTAATATTTTAATCACTTTGGTGGGATTCTGAAAAAGTAAAAGAATGTGTTAAATCATTCATGTATCATAAATTCAGCCTGTGGTGTATAATCTGAATTGCTTTAACAAATCATCATCTGTCTTGCTGGTCCTATGGAAATCAAATCTTACTGTTTTAAGATTAAGAGATTATTTTGTGAGGCAGGCAGTGGAACCACTGAGCTAAACTCCTACCCCTTAAGAGATATTTTGTAAATGTCTACTGGAAATTAGATCAATTACTGGATAGAGGACTGTATAATAAGAGTAACTTTCCACTACTAGTCATTTTGGGTACATTTAAAGCATGGTGACAAGTTTTTTGCTAAAAGAATCATATCTGATGTTGTGCTAACAATACAATTCCTCATTGCAAACAAACTGCATAGGTTCTGGTAAACAAGATTAACCTTTACCCAGTAATTTCTCAGTAAAGGAACAGGCTTGTAATCTCAAACCTAAATGAAAATAGTGTATTCCAGCTAAATGATATTGCTTCAGTTTGATATTGAAAGTTGAACAATCACTTGAAGAGCTGAAATTCTACACACCAGGCAGTAAAATATCCCTATTTATTTTTGTTGTTGTTTTTGGTACCAGGGATCGAACTCAGGACCTCACGCTGGCAAGGCAGGCTTGGTGCCAGAGCTCAATCCCGAGTCCCAAATGAAATGAATCCTTCTGATTTCTACCACTTATTCCATTGTTCTTGCCATTTTCTGAAATTCTGAAAGTCCTCTTTGTAGAGTGTCTTTCTGTGGCTGTCTTGATGTTCTGAAGGATTCAAAACATTTCATGCAATTTGTTAAATAAAAACATTATGGCTTGTCCACACCCATCTTATTAACCAGATGGAGCACTGTGAAGCTACCGGCTCTTTCCTCAGAGTCAAAACGACCACGAAAGGTAAACAGCATTCAAGTCAATTCCGGACGTCAAAGCAGCCATCACAGTGCCACTGAAGACACTCATGAAAGAGGACCTGCAGGACTGCTTCAGAAAGCAGCAGGAAGGGTGGGGTAAATGCGTGTAAGGCAAGGGAGAGCATTCTGAGAGACTAATGGCAGTGTCTTTCACTGTAAGTGCAAACAAAACTTAAACATTCATGTATTTTTTGAAAATCACACTTCGTGTGTATGCCTTTAAAAAAAATCTGTGGTCAAAGGAAACTAAGGCTCAGATATCATCTCACTTTACTTCTAATTCTTCCGAGCTTTCTCTCAATAAAGCCTGCGGGACCCAAGTGCTCAAATCCAGTGGACACTTCACCCTCTGCAGCGTGACACTGTACTCCACTTGTCTCTTCTTCAGATACTGTCATCTTCCTCCGAATACCATTTCCATCACTCTATCTCTGTCAGTCCCCACGACTGTGATCTCATTGGCTTTCATGATTTTAACTTCCTCTTACACACACGAATGACTGAGATTTTTCTTCCCATGTCTTCACATCTACACTAAAACATGTACTAGTCATCTCAACTCTATAGGTGCTTTAAAACTCTAGAGGTCCAGAACTAAACTCCTCTCCAAAACAGTCCCCATGTTTTCAACTTTAACGGTATCACCCTCACCTTTCTCACACAAATGGAGCCCACTTTTTTACCTCCCATAACCAATTAATAAGTCCTGCTGATTTTATTTCCTAAGATTCAAACTTATTTTTTCCTTTCATCTAAAACTTACTTCAGATCTTTTTCTCTGTCTTTTGAGACAGGGTCTCACCATGTAGTTGAGACTGACCTGGAGCTATGTAGCCCAAGCTGGTCTCGAACTCACAACGATCCTCCTGCCTCAGTCTCCCGAGTACTGTGATTACAGGTGTGTGCCACCACGCCCAGCTCAAACTTCAGATCTTTTTCCCTTGCTACCAATTAATAATTCAGAAGTTACTAAATTCGCATTTGGTTGTAAACAGTTGTTAGATGTTTCTATTAGGGACTCTATAATCAAATATATCTGAGTGACAAGTGAATACAAGCCTGTTTTAAAAGGTTTAGAATAAACATTAGCTAACAGCAACCGAAGTAGGAATATTAAGTCCTATTTTAAAACCCAGTGCTCTTGAGATAAGTGCGGAAATCTGATTTCCCTGTACTGGGGATAAACCCAGGGCCTCACACAAGCTCAGATGCTCTGCTACTGAGCTATAGCCCTAGTTCTTTGTATTTTGAGGCAGGATCTCAACAAGTTGCCTAGGCTGGCCTTGAACTCACAATCCTCATGTTTCCACCTCCCAACTAGCTGGGATCACAAGCGTGCGCCACCAAGCCCAGCTTCCACGCTCCTGTCATGTGTCTTCTGTACTGAGCTAATGACCTCAAATGTAAACCCGAGTCATTTCATTATTGGCCACCATTCCGAGGAAAATGAACCAGCGCCATTCAGTGTGAACCCCAAGACCCACTCTCGCCCTGCTGAGCTTCACTTGCTGTCGTCTGACGACTACAGTACAGCTCTACACTACTTGTTTGTGGCCCTGTGCTTCTGCTGTTCCCTCTGCCTTGTGCATCCTTCCTTCATCCATCTCATTTGCCAGCTTCTCACTTTAGTTCATTTCCTGTTTTGGTACCGGGGATTGAACTCGGGTCCTTGTGCTTGCGAGGCAAGCAGCGGAACCACTGCGCCAAATCCCTGGCCCCTGACTAGTTCTTTTAACACTTAGCTTAGGTATTAAGATGACCTCTTTTTAGATAAAAACATGACTTTCTTAGTCACATTTCTTGTTCCCTACACACTGCTGAAATTTCCTTCCTACAATAGAGTATAACACATAGAATCAAGACATCTGCTTACCCTCTGCCACACCACTGGTGAGTTAAAGGTCCAAGATTACATCTTGCTCAGTGCTTTATTTTTAACACTCAACTCTCGACTAATGAACTCAAGTACTATAGTAGCCCTTTGACTACAATTAGGCAGGACTGTCAAGAAAAAAATTTGGTGCTCAGATTTTCTCTTATCTTCCCTCAGAGACAAAGTCTGCTTGTACTAAAGACTTACCCGTGTGTGTTTTTGCCACGACATAATTTAGTACGGAGGTATGTGTTTGTACTTTCACATACTTTGTCTCTGAAAGATTCCGCTGGGCTGGAGTAGAGGACAGGTGTGCCTTCTGATGGCCCTATTCCTCTTCACTTTTAGTGTCTACCAACTTTTACCACCTTCTTTAAGGTGTCCTAAAGGGAAACAGGATGACAATGACCAAGTGCACTACTTATTTAGCTGTCCAACTTTGGATCATTCACACAATGTTGCCTCCAACCTCCTCTATAAAATGGGCCTGATAACTTTCCTGAGTGCTTAAAGGAATGCTGCAGCTTGTAAACACAGGTAGGCATGGAAGTACGTTTTCCGCTCCAGATATAAGTTAGGGTGCATCAATGGCTTCTGGTATGTGACTAACATTCCTACATCGAATCAGTGGCAAAACCATTCCATTTATCCACACTCATGCTCTGCGAGTCCCTTTTCCCTGCTTACTTTCTCCCTCCATCGCATTAGTTCCCAGAGGATAAAGGCTGTTTTCTTTGTTGCCGAAAGCCACATCACTCAGAATAATGTTGTGCACAATGTAAGTACTTGTTGAATGAATGGTGCAAAGTGTCAAAAGAAGACATCAAAAGTTTTATTATAATAAGAAGCATATATAAACTTTCCTATAATGACTTCTATTCCTTTAAGACACTATATACCATAATAAAAACATGAGAAAATTTATTAAAATTGGAAGGCAAAAACATAATTCAAAGGTTAAACCTATGTCAAACGTGATAGAGAATGGATGCTTTCTTGAATTTCAAAGTCGGATCCAAGAGTATCACTTTCAGAATGTTCCAGTGGATTGTTTTTACTTTTATTTGTCTTGGATGAAACAGTTACTGTTCTTTCTTTCTTGACAGAAACATATTTTTTCAACGACTCACTTTTGATAGGTTCTTTAACTAGAGAACCATTTTCCTTAGTTCCTTTGCTTTTCCAGCTTACAGAAGAGTCGGAATAGGAATGTAGGTCCTTTCCGGGCTGTTTCTTAGCGGAGTGTTTTTTGGTATATTCACCTGCTCTGGTCACTTTCTCTGAAGGTGATCTGCTATTTCTAGACCACTCCTCTTCTCCAGTTCCAGGAATCTTATCTGCTGAAGGAGAACATGTTCTAGCAATGAATCCTTCAAAAGAGTCCTGCTGCTGCTGCTGCTCAGGGGCTGGGTTTCCCAGGTTGTCTCTGGAAGTTACTATGGTCTCCTGAGTAGAAACTGGGACGTGGAAGGAGTCAAGAGGCAAAGGAATTCTAGCATCACCTGTGATTTTCTGAAACTAGAGGGAAAAACAAGAAAAATCCAGTCATGAATAAAAGCTAAATATTAAAAAGAAGACTTCAAAACTTCAGTGCTATTTTGTGATCTTATCAATAAGCAGTCAGTTCAATACTAAGACTTTAGGGTCACCCCCCAATTAAATCTTGCCAAGTGATTCTCCACTCAAAAGTTGGCTACATTCAGAGCTAGATTTACATTTTTAAACTTCTGTGTAATCATTATCCATTTCCCTTTCTCTCATTAAAAATATCCTACTACAAAAAACACAAAAACAAAAAAAGCCGGGCATAGTGGCTCATGCCTGTAATCCCGCACTCAGGAGGCTGAGGCAAGAGGATCCCTGTGAATTCGAGACCAGCCTGGCTACATAGTAAGTTCCAGGTCAGTCTCAACTACATAGTGAGACCCTGTCTTAAAAAAAAAAAAAATCCCACTGCCTAAGAAAAGTAGTTTCTTTCCTATCCTACCTAAACATATTAGTAGTATCCGCCATATGTCTCAAACTGTCAGTTCTCAAGAGCAGCCTGAGGGTTGGGGGGTGGGAGGCAGGGTCTGGGAAGGACAGAAAGGCAGCAGCAGGGAAGTCTGCAGCAGCAGGTTTTCCTCTCCCAATGCTACTGCTCGTCACACACTGCCAGTTAGTTAGTCTGGATTCTTTCTTTTCTCTTTGTTTGTTATCAGGGGATCAAACTCAGGACACTATGCTTGCGAGGCAGGTGGCAGAACCATGAAGCTAAATAAATTCCTGGCCCTGGATTACTTATTTCTAAATTATCTGCATCATTACTTGTACCTTCATTAGTGTTCCTTCATTGTAAGCTGACTGCATACAAATAGAAACCTAGATGAAATATGAATAGAATAGACATTTACAAAACTTAAAATTTGGAATATTTTCTCTAAACTTTCATTTCTTTGTTCACTGAGGATATTCTGATTTACATTATAAATTGTCAAAGTAAGTATTCTTATTTACAACAATATAATACCGTAACATGGGAACAAACTTACTAGCTTCAGACTTGGGAAGACCTGAAATATATTTCTGGCCTTCAAGCATGGAAATGATTTCGGATGGGTCACTAGTATTCTCTCTCTGACTAGCTAATTTCCTTTTTGCTAATCTTTCTTGAATCAGAGTTCTGTTCTGTCCACTTACTTGAATATTTTGCATTTGCCCTGCAGCACTCTGCTTTGGATCTGGTTTCTCTTCTTCAGGTGCCTTCTTTTCCTCTTCAGGTGGATGGCTAACAGTAGAATTCAACTGGGGACGACCTAGTAAATGAAAATCTGACTGATCTATACCAGCCATTGTGGCAAGCTGCCCAAGTCTGCACAAGAAGAGGGAAAGACGGGTTAACACCATAGGAGAACTCAGATTCCCCCACACCTACAAGCATGGAAGAGTTTTATACATGAATACAAAAATCCCAGAAGCCATGTCCTACTCCAGACTACAACCCACTGTCTCTCCCTCTTGGTCAGATCTTCCCATATCTGCACTGTAGGATCACATCATTCAGCACTCCCTATACCCTCGAGAATATATTATATACTATGTGCCTGTACATCCTTAGTACTGTTCCTCCATTTTACCTGTCTGTCTGTCTTTTGGTCCCGGGAATCGAACTTGGGGCCTTGCACTTATGAGGTAGGTGGTAGAACCACTAAGCTAAATCCCTGTCCCTGTGCCATTTTAAATGCACTCTCTCTAACTAGTGCATATCCACCTTCATCTCCACACATCTTCCCATTTTTTCCCTACAGTTTCTAATAACGTGCTTGTTCCCAGCACCAAACTATTCACCTACTGAAAACCACTGCATCAACTTTTCCAACTTCCTCTGCAAAATCATTCCTGCTTGAGAGCCAGTGATCTATCTAACCTGCAGATTATTAGCTATTCTAACGTCTAAGACTTATATAATTCCAACTTAACAAGCAAAAGGAATAAAGGGCAAGAATATTTTTATAAATTCCTTAATATTTTTCAATTAAAATTAGCATTTACTTTTTTAAAAAACTTACCCCCCCCATACCAAGGATCGAATTCAGGCCCTTGGGCTTGCAAGGCAGACAGCGGAACCACTGAGCTAAATCCCCAGCCCCAAAATTTACTTTTTAAAGAGAATTATTCCTACTAATTACTAAGTACAGGTTATCTTTCTTACAATGGGCTGTCTACCAAGGTAGGTTTGCCAATTTACATTTCTTTTAAAAAATAAATTCTCCATTTAAAAAAACCAAGCATATAATTTAGGTATAATCACACAGCATACGTGGCTTATGGAAAATAGGATAATACTCAAGTTCCTCTGCAAGCTACATTCAAAATCATGATGGGAAGAATACCCTAGAGACAAACTAACCCAGCATCCTTAAGGAGATCCAGGAAAGCATGGAACTTCTGAAAAGAATTCTCGATGCTTCCCAGAACACCGTCATCATCCAGGATCATGTGTGTCAATGACTGTGCATGAAGGGCTTCAGACAAAGAGAAATTTATATTTCTTAACTGGGCATTTTCATGTTCCAGCTATAAAAGAAGGGTGAAAATGTGTATTATTTTCTCTCATTGTCATCTAAAGAAAACAATTTTTAAGTAACAAAACTAAAACATCTTAAAAAATGTGATTAATCTGTATTAACCCTTTACCATTAAAGACAGTAACTGTATCACCTAACAATCAAAATCTGGAGACAACTGACAAAATTTGCTGTTTAACACTTAGGTATTTATGTCAAATTTATTGTTTCATTAACGATCTTTCACAAAGATCACATTTCTAGCTCTTCAAATTCAGATCATTTTATGTTAGAAAATTAGCTGCCTAAGGGTCTTCTTAAATTAGAAAATGAAATAGAGTCTGATTTGAGCAAAGCATATTACACTTCTGCTGAATATTAAGGATTCTTCTTAGCAAGGGTAAGTTTTAATGTGTGCATCTGAAAGTCCTGAAGTGCACCTAATTCATTAACTGCACAACACCAATATTCTCACCCCCTGGCTTCTTGAAAATATTTATCCCCCGGAACACTCCTCTTTCTCATCATTTGTTCATCTAAAACCACATAAAAGCCCAATGTATTTCTCAGAAAGGTCATTTCATTCGTGATGCATTTTTTGTTTTATATAAACAGGCGCTTAATATTTACCGAATGAGTGTCTTTCAACCAAATGCACATACTGTCAGAAATTCTCCCTGAAGCCCTTTGCAATAATTATATTTACACACAACTGTCTAGCTTTCATGAACGTCAGTCTGATTAGTACGCAAGAGCACAGATTTGCGTTTCACTGCACCGTCGTTCACTTTGCCAGTTCAGTCAGTACAGTCTCATCGCGTGCTTTATGTTACTGTGCATACAATAAAGCCTAGTAAGTATGTTTCACAAACAGAAACAAGGTGCAGTCATATAAAAGCTGGTGGGGGAGGAATACGTTTATATTTTTTAAAAAACATGCTTAGATGGGTAGGTAAGTAAATTCAAAGGTTAATATGGAGCAGCCAATTTGTAATACACAGTTTTTCTTACTTTAAAGTTTATAAAGGCAGTGTGTATACCTTAAAATCAAATTCAAATGGCCAGAGATGTAGCTCAGTGGCACCTCACTTGCCTGGCAAGCTGAAGGTCCTGAGGAGTTACATCCCCAGCACCAAAAGAAATACAAACAAACGACTGTCAAATATAAAACTTTTATTTACCTCACTGACTCGTTTATCAGCCTTAAGCCTTATTACTCTCTCCTCCTTTAACTGTTTCAGGCACTCCTCCAGTTTTTCCTAGTACGGAGAAAGAGCAAATACTGTTAACTATTTCTCACTATGACCCCTGAAAGTTGTCTCAGCTAGATTCCACCAAGCACACTTCCAGGATTGTAAGTGCACTATTTTTAGTATCGTACCATACTAGTGAAATTCATTATCAAAATATATCAAATCAGCACATCACGGTCATTTAAATCCCACTCTCCAAAATAGGTTTGTGGCAGCTCATCATAAAAAGGCAGCGAATAGAATATTGTTGGTGAATTAGAAATAAAAAATAAGGCTGTGAAAGGAAAACTCTATTACTTGTAGGTCCCCGTAGAAGAAAAGCCTACTAACATGCTTAACAAAACTGCATTTTTACAAAAGAAATACTTTTACCTGGGCAAGATGGTGCACACCTGTAATATCAGCACTCAAGAGGTTGAGAAAGAAGACCATGGATTCGAGATGAGTGTGGGCTTTGGAGCAAAGTCAAGGCTGGTATGGACTACATAGATCCTATCTCAACACACACACACTTTCAAAGCACTTTATTATATGACAAGCACTGTTCTAAGAGTTTTCTAGTTATTACCTAACTTAACCACCACTGAAACCCTATAAAAATATTAACTGTGTTGTCTTACAGATGAGAAAACCAAAGAGAGTAGAGTAATACATCCAAAGTCATATCACTAGTTAAGTACCACAGTAGAGCCAGGCTTTGATTTTAAGAAGTTGGGTGTTGGCCTCAGTCACAGAGGTGGTAATTTTCCCCCTCACCGATGTCAATAAAATAGGATGCACAAGGGTAAACATACTCGTGTTCAAGAACTGAGACTCTAAAATCCTTCAAAGTGGAGAGTCACTCCTTGAGGTAGACGGAATGCTGAAATAGCTTCTAAGATTCCCTCCTGCCGGGGACCCCACTGTTCAAACACTAATGAGGTGCTGTTGTGAAGAGGTACAAGTAAAAGATCACAAAGAACTGACCTTAGGATAGGGAGAGTACCCTACGTGGATGCAACCCATGCAAGCAACCCATTAAGAGGGACCAGGCTATTACTGAAAGAGACTTAAAGCACAAAAGGAGTCAACATGGGGAATTTTCCACTACTGGTTCTTTCTAGGTACAATATGGGAGCAAGGAACAAAGACGAGGGAGGCCTCTAGTGGCTGAATGGGTCCCCCTGACTAAGCAGCCAGCAAGGAAATGGAACCTCAGTCTTAACGGTAGGGGCTGAATTATGTGGACACCTGAATAAGCTTGAAAGGGAGTCTTTCCCAGAGCCTCTAGATGACAGCAGCCTGGGGGACAACTTGGCTTTGGCTAGTCAGACTAAGCAGATATCCCAGTCACATCCTGTCTAGACTTCTGAGCTACAGAACTGGAGCTAATGAGAAATGGGTACCATTTGACATTACCAAGGTTTAAGCAATGAAAATTAATATACTCTTCAGCACCCAGGTTCATGAACAAAATGACTGTTATTGTTTATTTACTACTGCAAATAAGCTACATTTTTTACTGCTGCATCATCAGCCATTTGAGTAATACACAGAAAATGTGTATTTATGAAAACAGTAAGATATATTTATATTTTAAAGGCTTTTGAATGTTCAAAGAGTTTCAATTTAAAAAATTAGTTTAACCATGGATATATCTATGTTTATAAATATAGACACCCAGACAGTTAGATAGCCACAGCAGGAGAGGAAATAATACTACTTTCTGGAGCAATCTCTGGATTATACCAAAGGTTCTGATTTCCCTAAGAAAATCATCACAGGTGTGGGCAAGGCTTTATTTACCAATATAATGTCAAAGAATTGTAACTATCTGTTTTTTTTTTTTTTTGGTACCGGGGATCGAACCTGGGTCCTGTGCTTTTCAGGCAGGCACTGGAACCACTGAGCTAAATCCCCGGCCCAAGAATTGTTAACTATCTAAACTCTAGCAATAAGCTAAAAGTCTCATATTGTGATTAGTTTAAATAAAACACATATGAAGAAATAACCTATGAAGCTGCTAAAAAAACAAAAACAACAAAAAAACCTGATGATATAAAGGACTCAACCAGAATTAATGAATGGGCTTTAAGAGTTGCATTCTTAGCCGGGCATGGTGGTGCATGCCTGTAATCCGAGCAACTCAGGAGGCTGAGGCAGGAGGATAGCTGCGAGTTTAAGACCAGCTTGGGCTACACAGTGAGTTCCAGAGCAGTCTCAACTACATAGCTAGACCCTGTCTGAAAAAACAAAAAACAAACAAAAAAAAACTGCATTCTCAAAATTTTTCTTGTAAGATAGTCTATAAGCTTGATCAGATTCCCTGTAATAGAAGAGTATGAAACAACATGGCAAAGTATTTTGAGACTTTAGGGGGGAAAAAAAAAGACTGATTATAAAATACCCAGTTGTGTGTACATGTAGTGATTTTCCTTTCAATTAAATTCATACTTTTCAAAAATGTCCTCAATGAACATGTACTTTTTTTTTTTTTGGTACCAGAGATTGAATTCAGGACCTTGCACTTGTGAGGCAGGCGGTGGAATCACTGAGCTTAAATCCCCAGCCTTAATGAACATGTACTTTTGTAATCAGAACATATTTGAAAATTAGTAAATGTTCTAATAATTTAAAAAATTTTTTCAGGTGGGGAGACACTGGGGTTCGAATCCAGTGCCTTCACAAGGCTACATCCCGACCCCATTTAAAATTTTGAGTGGGGGCTGGGGATTTAGCTCAGTGGTTCCACTGCCTGCCTCGCAAGTGCAAGGGCCGGAGTTCAATCCCTGGTACCCCCCCCCATATTTTTGAGTGGGGTCTCGCTAAGTTCCCAAGGTTGGACTGGAACTCAAAATCCTCCTGCTGCAGCCTTCCAGAGTACTGTAATTCTAAGCACAAGCTACCACACTTGGCTTTCAAATTCCTTAATGTAAAGGCCAACCAAGTTTTTATGGTAAGAAGTAAAAATAAACTGCAAAGTTACTTATCATTCATATAATGGTATTAACATTTAAAATCTGTATCACAGGGGCAACCCACTCTTCTGTCTCTCAGGCAGAAGTTACATTTTTTCTCAATAAATTTTTCCTACTCTTAACCAAAAAAGTCCTTGCCACAAATGGAGAAAGACTAAACACCTTTCGTGACCCCACTCTTGTTTTAAACAACGTATCAAAGTAAATTACACATGAGCCGGGTGTGGTGGCGCACACCTGTAATCCCAGCACTCGGGAGGCTGAGCCAGGAGGATCGCTGTGAGTTCGAGACCAGCCTGGGCTACACAGTGAGTTCCAGGTCAGTCTCAACTACATGGAGAGACCCTGTCTCAAAAAAACCAAAAGTAGTAAATTACACAAAAGCTTCTCCCTCTAGTGGACAGATAGAACATAACATGACATTGCTATGAAAAAGTTTTTCTTTCCCCAGTAGCCCTTTAAAATCAATGGAGTAATTTATGCTCCTTAGAGGAAGTAAGAAAACACGGAAGCAAACAATTAGAAAGTACAATCACTCAATAAACACCTACTATTTATACTATGACAAAGTTTTGAGTAATTTTCTTGTCGCTTGTTCCCCACCTCCCTCTATCCATTGCCAACGTGCTTATCTTCCCCTTGGAAAACAGCATCCATCATTTTGTGCATCAAATTTTATGTCCAAGTTTTTCCAATTAACATTGAATTATTTCTCAGATGGTTTTTATAACCCTGACTCGCTAGTGGATACAAAATATTCCACTGGGTAGGTTTATCGGTTCATTTAATCATTCCTTTCTAGCTAAACATTCAGATTGTTTCTAACTTTTCAATACTGCGAGATAAAAGCCACTTTTATGCAAGAAGTTTCCCTCCTTCATCTGTACAATGTTTCTTGCAATCAACTAAGGAAAGAAATTTTAGGGCAAAGCAAATTAACATTTTTAAGGCTCTGAGACATTTACAGCCAACTATTTTCCAGAACTTTTCTAGATTTTATACTACTATCAGCAATGGAATTTAACACCTGCCCGATCAGTGTTGTTTACTTCAGGAGGGAGAGAAGAAACAATGTATTTGATTAAGCATTTATCCTTAGCACGTCCTATGCCTACCACATAAATAACTGAAGCCAGACATGCTGGCACATACCCATAATCCCAACATTCGGGAGGATGAGGCAGGAGAATCACTGTGATTTTGAGTGCAGCCTAGGCTACAGAATGAGTTCAAGATCAGCTTAAACTACATGGTAAGAGGGCCAGGGATTTAACTCAGTGGTGGTGTTGCCAGCCTCGCAAGCTCAAGGTCCTGAGTTCGAGCCCTGGTACCAAACAAAACAAAACAAAAAAGAAACTACATACACAGCGAGACCCTGTCTCAAAACAAACAAACAAAAAAAAACCCATCAAAGAATTAAATAAGAGTCGCTGACAAGATTCATGCGTCGTGTTTTTGTCTAAGTGAATAGGTAAAAGCTTGCACTCTTCCTTGAATCTACAATGCTTACTAATATAAGCCAAATTTTTTGTAGATATTTTTTTAAACTCAGGTTCTCTATGGCAAAGTCCTAGCTATATCTATTAGCTATAAACCTTGAGGAAGTGAAATAACTCTAAGCCTTTATTTCCTCATCTAAAAAGGGAGAGAAATTCATACACAAGGTTCTTTTGATAATTAAATAAGTTTAGCACACACACAGTATGTAGAAGACTTCTTGGTACATAGAGTGTGTTCAATTGATGCAAAACGAATGAACATATGAATGCAATTAGTAGAGAAGGACTTATAATCAGAGCTAGTTGCTGCTTTCCAACTTACATATTCAGCTCTCTGGGAAAACCATTTAACTGTAAAATATGATACACATACTGAAAAGTACATAGAAGAAAACCGTCAAGGAACACTCGTGTAACTACTAACCAACTGTGCAAGTATAACCTCCAGCATCTCTGAAATCTCTCATAACCTCTCCACATCACAAGTTCCTCTCTTCCTCCCATGGTGAGACACCATCCTCAATTTCTTGATGATCATTTCCTTTATCTGTGTGCATTCCTACAAAACAATTTGGTTTTGTCTACTAATTTATGTAAAAGGAATCATAGTGCATGTAGTCTTTTGTTATTTTCTTGTACTAATTCTTGCATTTTTAAACTTCATTCATTGTTGCTTGAGACTCTAATTCATTCAATTTTATTGATTTTTACTTAACTTTGTTTCCTTGCTCTACACAGTTTAATTTTTAATTCTTAATGAGCATTTGAGTTGTTTTCAGATTAGGCTGTCACAGACTGGGCTATTCTTGTCGAACAATTTTTCCAGTGCATATGTCCTGGGGTAGTGCGCTGGATCACTGGGTAGTCATACATCTTTAATGGGTAGACAATGTTAAATGCTTTCCAAAAGTAGTTGTGCTGACTTATACTCCACATAAACAGGATGTGAGATTCCTGTTGCACACCTGCCGTATCCGACTTTGTTTTTGGCCAATCCGATAGTACAGTGGCATCTCATTTGTTTTAATTTTTTATTGATTATTCACACAGTAAACACTTTTCCATTTTTACTGGCTACCTGGATTTCTTTTTTGTGAGATTTACTTTCAAACTTTCTCTCTCTCAGGGCTGGGGATGTAGCTCAGTGGCGCCGTGCCTGCCTGGCAAGTGCAAGGTCCTGAGTTTGATCCCCAGTAACAAAACAAAACTTTTTCTCTGTGCACGCATGCATGTACACGTGTGTGTGACTGAACCCAGGATCTAGCACATGCTAGGTAAGCATCCTACCACCGAGTGAGGTACATCCCCAGCCCTTCCTGTATTTTCTTTTTGAGGCAAGGTCTCACTAAGTTGCCAAGACTGGTCTTGAACCTGTGATCCTCCTGCCACATCCTCCCAAGTAGCAGAAATCACAGGCACACACACCATTACATTCTGCTATTTTACCTTTTACACTGCCACACTTAATTATAAGTACATAGTGGGTCATGGTGGTTCACACCTGTAATTCTAGCACTTGGGAGGCTGAGGTAGGATTGCAAGTTCAAGGCCAGTCCTGACTACATCTCATTACCTCAAAAAAAAAAAAAAAAAAAAAAAAACCATAAAAAACCCCCAAAGAAAACAAAACAAAACAAAAAAACCGCATATGTATTCTGTTCCATGTGCAGAATTAACTACTCTGGTAGATTGTTTTTGTTTTGTCTGCTGTCCTGCAGATTGAATCCAAGGCATTTGCACTGAGCTACATCCTCAGCCTTTGTTATTCTGAGAAAAGGTTTTGCTAAGCTGTCCGAGCTGGGCTTGAACTTGTGTTCCTCCTGCCTCAGTTTTCCAGTGCTGGGATTACAGAAATGTACCACCATGCCTGACAAGTTCTCTTGTTTTGTGAGACAGTATAAAATTGTGTTTGAAAGAACATGCAGACAGCTCGAGCTCAAATCACTGATCCTACAAAACTTGGTAGAGTTTGGGTAAGTTCCTTTTTCTACCGTAGCTTCCTTTTCTGAAAAGCAGGAATATTAGCACCTACTGCATAAAGTTACTCTAAGAATTACATAAGTTTACACATGCAAAAAATATTTAGAGTCAAATACAAAGTCCAAACAAGTTAGTGATTATCTTATATGCAGGTTGGCAATAAAAAATGCCAATCAAGATGTTATTTCCATTATTGTGATTAAATGAATACAGTCGAGTGATACAATACCTTTCTGCACGTCAAGATCATGCCTCTTTCTGTTTCTACAGGATGCAGGCTAACCACACACCGTAAGTTACACCTATTTGTTCCAATTTCCACCCATTGGCCTAACGTTAGCATTAAAGTACCTCTTACGCTACTAAAAGGTGTTCTGTTCATACAGGTTAGACTGATGGTCATTCACCTTTATGCCACTGACAAGGGGACATTCCTAGTGCCAAATTCAAGTGAATTCCTCTCTACCACACCACACTTTTAGCAGCTTAAAAATACACCACAGTTTAGACTAGTTTATGTTTATGCCAACACAGCTTTCTCTCTGGAATTGGGATTCCCTTCTTTTCTCCCTCCCAATCTCCCCCTCTCTTCTGAAAGTCCCTAATACCTACTAATATGCTTCAAGGTTTATTAAAGCTCCATCACACCATCGGTGGCAATTTCTCAAATCCCAACTGGCTGCTCCCTGCGTTGAATTCGCAGATCTGAGTACCATATAATCTTACTAGTTTATTCCATCCTTGTTGTGGATTACCTCTTCAGATAAAACAAGGCATAGCACAGCAAGTAAACTTTCAACTTCACTGATGAACTAAATATACTATTCAGGCTCCCCCAGGACTTGCCCTGTTCTACTGGTTCAGTTTATTCTGTCTTCTGCCTTCCAAAACAAAACAAAACAAAACAAAACGAAACCAACCCTTGATTCCTTCCAATGGTTATACCCACTTTTACTTCCTGATAAAGGAAATAAAAACACATTGAGAACAACAATGGACAGGGCTGGGGATTCAGCTCAGTGATTCCACCGCCTGACTGCAACAGGAGGGATCCAAGTTCAATCCCCAGCACCAAAAACAAAACAAAAAAACAATGGATGAAGGTCAGACGATTGAGGATTTTGTCTTTGCAACTTAAGTGTTAAATCATTCAAGGGCTGAAAATTATAGGTGCTCATTTAAAAGACGAAAGTGGATTATAGAGCCCTATGTCTTTAACATTGTAACTTTCTAAGGATTTATCTAAAAATTGCTCTATATAAGTACTGTTGATTTCAATTTTAAAACACAAAGTCTGCTTTTTTTTGTTTCAGAAGTGGTACTGAGGAGTAAATGTAGCACACTTAATGCCTCTTTTAAGCCAAGTGCTCTTACCACTGAGCTGGCTTTCTTTTAAAAAGAAAAAAAAATTAAATAGTGATTTCCACAGTCATGTAATAAAAATGGGATAACTATCCTTCACCCACATAAAGAATGAGAAGGAGGCATCTGTGAACCAGAAAGCACACCCTTGTCTAGCACCAAATCTGTTGTCACTCTGACCTTGCACTCCCCAGCCTCTGCCAATTGTGGAAAGCAAGTTCTCACTGTTTACATTCTTAAAATAAAAAGGTACAACACTTCTACATTATTAAGTTTCATGCTAAAAGAAAGTCATATTTATGAAAAGAGAATACCAATATGAAAACATTTTTCAATTTTACTTTTATCAAAAACAAAGTACTATTTTTCTCTTACATAATAGGGAAGGTTGCTAGAGCCATCAATTTCCTAGTCTGTAAAATAAGAACAATCAATCAGTTGACTATATCACACAGTAGTTCATTTCCTAAAGTCTGTTTTATGATCATTAAGGTTCTTCTAATATTCTATGATTCTAAGAAAAAACTATCTTATTGGTGACATATTTTGATTTTTGTTTAAGAGCTCACACACCCATCTCTCACCTTGTTCAAAGATGAGGCGTCATTTAAGGGGACAGGAGTTAGCAAGAGGGACAGTCAGAATCCCTATCCCAGCCACCGGGGTCCTCTCTCAATCATGTGTCCAACAAGTACCAACTTCGGTTTGAAATAATTTTCACTATGTCTTGTAAGTGACTGCTTTGTACCTGTAAGGCTTCATGTTTTACACTGGTTTTCTCCGGCACTTCATGAACACTTTCTGAAGAATCATCTATCTCCTCAATTTCTGAGGATGAAGGACTCTCTACTGTCACAGTCACAGGAAAATCTGATGGCTTAAATTAAGAAGACGAAAGATTACATAAGCAGTAGGCTGGGGATTTAGCTCAGTGGTGCTGCCACCTTCCTCACAAGCACAAGGTCCTGAGTTTGATCCTCAGTACAAAAAAAAAAAAAGATTATGTAAGCAGCAATATAAACTAAATGCCAAATAATACAGGATTAGATGAATCAAAGTGATTTTTCTGAAATAACAAGTCGTTATATACATCTCTTGTACTACTATTTAGCCTAAAACAACACAGTACAATACCACTTATTCTCGCTGTTACTATACAGAATTCCAGCATATATAGTTATGGTTAATATTTGGAATTGTCCATTAATGTATTAAATTTAGTTCACATAAATCAAGTAAGGAGCCAGGATAAACATTTTTCCTCAAGTCAACTTTATACTGCAGAACAGAAATTTATTCTTCACTATCAGATATAAAGAGTCTGGAAGTATAATTTTTAAAAGGAAAATCCATCAATGGGGGACTCATAAAAAATTATAAAAACAAGCCGAGCATGGTTGTGTATGCCCGTAATCCCAGCACTCAGGCAAGCTGAGGCAGGAGGATATCAAGTTTGAGCCTAGGCAGGGGTGATTTAGCGTCTTAAGAAAGGCTCATCTCAAAATTAAAAAAAAAGAAAAGAAAAGAAAAAGGGACGGAGATGTAGCTCAGTGAGAAGGCCCAGGATTCAATCCCCAGTACCACAGAAAAAGAGAAAATTAGTGAGCGGAACTAGAAAGGTATTTTAATAAATCATGTATACACAGACAATGCAATTTAGCTCAGTGGTTCCGCTGCCTGTCTTGCAAGCACAAGGACCTGAGTTTGATTCCTGGTACCAAAAAAAAACCTGACACACCAAAAACTTTCTTATCCATATCCATAGGCAAAACTAGAGCACTAACAATATAATTTTGTTAAGTTTTACTGCAACTGGAATGCTGTTCAGTATGTGGTTTCCCATCATTTAAAAACTGACCTGTTGACAACCTCATAAAAAACAAATCAGATTAAAAGAGCGTACTGGGTTTCTATAGCTGTAACGAAAACAAGTCACTGATGTGATTTCTACCACAGGTAGGAAACCGTGCAGCGTTGAAAACCCTCAACAGAATGAGATGTGCACTCCGACTTCTGGGCAGGTCCCAGACTGTACTGACACCCAGGTGATCCTCACTCAGTCTTCCTAGTGCTACCTTTAAGAAAGGACCACGAGGCTCCCAGGAAAACCAGGAAGGAGATCTGATACCGACAAAACAAGCTTGCTGAAAGCGTGTGCCCTGGGGAGGGAGGAAGAAAGGCTCTGAGAAAACAGGCTCTGGCATTTCTTGCTTTGTTCTGGCTCCTCTAGAATCTGGAATTGACATCATTTCTGAAAACTTAAGGACATTTCTGAATACGACACAGCTCTCTCTGTGGCAGGTCAGAAATGGTCCAATTTGTTTTACTGGGTAAAAGCTGATGAATGGACTAGAAAAATGGCTTCTTTGTGTGTAGGTGAAGCCATAAGGCCTCTACCTCTAGTATGTGCCCTATCTATGCATCTACATCCTAGCACTGGGAGAAAAACCTAGCAAGTTTTAGGCTTACTTCAGGGAAGGAAAAGTTTTCTGTAAGGCTCTAACTAGTTTAAAAAGCACAGAATGCCAGATGTAGTGGAGCACATCTATAATTCCAGCATTCAGGAGGCCGAGGCAGGAGGATCAGTGTGAGTCAAGGCCACTGTGGGCTACCTGGGCTACATACTGAGTTTAAGGCCAGCCTGAACTATATAGCGAGACCACGTCTCAAAAAAACAAAACAAAACAAAACAAAAAACCACACCAAAAATAAATAAATAAATAGCACAGAAAATAGCTCTCCATCTCCTCCATTCCAACCTTCTACATGTTTTAATATGATAAATACATACCTGCAGCTGAGTAGGTATATCTCGAGTTTTGATTAATGGAAAACCCCTAAAATGATATCAATAAATTAAGTCATATTTCAAATCAACATACCACCAATTAACATGCATTATGTACACTATCCATACAGAACTGTGTAAATAAATAAAGGACCTCAAAATAAGAACCTGATAGGCACTGCTATGGCAAAAATTGAATGGACTTTAGCAGAATGGCTTTGCGGCAACTCTTTGAGACACACGAAGCTCCTATGAACAGCATGACTAAGATTTCTAGTCTAACTTCTTTAGCTAGAGATATCAATCATTCCCTAATTTATAACTCTTGTGATTATGATGGACTAGAGATTAGTAAATGTGCTAAGACATAAAACCATAAAATTACAAAACTGGGGCCTGAGCACTAGTTTATACCATTTGTGGAAAAAAAGTCAATTGCCTAATGTGGATTATGCACAGCAATTTAACAGATATTTTACATAGTTCCTATCTTCTGTCCTATTTAAAATCAATTCTCTGCTGCACCCACCCCAGGGACTCCCTTGGTAGATCAAACTGGCCTTGAATTCAAGGAGATCCTCCTGCCTCAGTCTCCCAAAGACTGGGATTACAGCCATGCACCACCACACCCAGCTAATTCTTTCTTAAGCAACAGTTCATCCTCAATTTCTTGAATAATCCCAAATCAGTCATTTAAAAAAATTTACAGTAATCTAGTTTACCTAAAAAGCCAAAACTTATAGTAGGACAATTTTTAAAAAACTTCTTTGGTAAAAATTACCTTGTATAGCAATGCTGTGGGCAATGAAGTAAAACTAGTCTAGTTTGAGTCACTAAATATGATTCTCATTAAAATGAGAATTAGGTGAGCTGACTTAACTTTAATTCATACTCCGTGTCACACTAACCTATTTGCCATGTCCGTATAATGTCCTTGTCCTCGTCCCTACATATCCCCAAACTCCGGCTTCCTTCCTGCAGGACTCAGCTCAACCGCACATCCTTCCCTAAAACCTGTGACCATGAGCACAAATGAAGATAATCACAAGTCCCCTGTTGACTCCCAGAGTTAGGACTTCTGTGACACAAAGCAACTTCATCTTCTTTGTGGTACGGGGGATCAAACTTGGGACCTTGCGCTTGAGAAGCTGGCAGTGGACCCACTGAGCTAAATCCCCGGTCCAACACAAAGTAATTCGAAACTCCTATTTTTCATTTTTTTTCCTTAAAGGATTCCCTAGGCAGAAGGAATTCTCAAGGAATCCTTGAGTCTTTACCATTTTATAGAAACAACCAGGGAACTTCTGTGTAATACAAACTCCAAAATAAAGAACTGTGAATGACTAAAATATATTTAAAAACCCTACCTGCTTCTCTTAGCACGTTCTGCAGTTCGCCATGGCAAGAAACCAGACACACCAGGTGGGAGGGGTTCAGGAGCATAGCACTCTTTACCAAGGGTGTATTTTCTTCCACTACTTGCAGGTTTCTTGGTAGCCAATCCTATATTGGAGAAAGTATTAAGAACAAAAAAGCAAGATACACTAAAGGTCTACAAATTATTACACACATGTGACAATGAAATTAGGCCACTGAAACAGGATCCATTTCTAAATAGGACAGCAGTTTTAAAAAAACGTAAGTTTTCTACAGTAACAAGTTATCCTTTTAACTAAAATGTTAATTGTGAGATATGCAGAACATGCAAAAATAAATGAAAATATATTTCAATGGAAGAAAGATTATGTATCACACATAAATATCCAGTTCATTGAATTTCAGAACATCTTTGGCATTTCTGAATCTCTAAGAAAGGTCAACACAGACACATCTAGGACTCCTGCTAACAGAACCTTCTCAATTAGATCAAAATCTCCACAGAACAGCAATTTTACCATGTAAAAACTATTAAAATACTGAAGGGGGCTAGGTAGTAGATATGTCAACGTTACCCTCTAAGCCTTCTGACCTTAGGTGCTCATTTGACTTTATAAAAAATGCAAAAGAAACAAAATCTACTGGGCAAAAGAAGAGATTAGAGAAATCCTACTTTTTTTTTTAAAAGACTAGTCAAGTATCTTTATAGGAAATATTTTCAAACCGTGTATTAAAACTCACATTTCAATATGTCTTTAATATTACTGAGAAAAAATAATACAGGTTTATTTAAATGGTTACATTTATCCTTCCAATCTATTTTACTATGTAAGATCTACTTTGGAAGAATTAGGATGGTATCTAAAATAAAGTGCAATGCAGTGACAACAAACACATGGTCCTATGCTATTTCTCTGGATACATTTACATGTCTCTTAAAAAAAATAGGAGCTCTGTTCATCTTGTGCTATTAAATTTTTGCTTTTTTTTGGTGGGGGTACCGGGATCAAACTAAGGTCCTTGTGCTTGCAAGGCAGGCAGTGGAACCAGTGAGATAAATCCCCGGCCCATTTTTGCTTTTTAATTTAATAATCCTCATGTAAGAAATGTTTGTGTGCATGTATTTTCGGAAAATATGCAAACATTTTCACTGAAGAAAAAAAAAAAAGAATTATACCTGAGATGAAAACAAATCTAATGAAAGTTTTAAATCTTTCTACACATATAACTACAAAACAAACATGACATAATTCACATAAAATATCCAAACCCTGTTTTCACTGAAATCTAATTATATAGCCAACACACTAATTTGGCTTACCTCTGTGTCTCCAAATAACTGATGCAAATACAATAAGAAAAAGAAAAGAAAAAAAAAAACACCCAAGAAATAAAATTATTCTCAAAATTACCCAGTGAACTTGCAAACTTTAGTTGCAATTCCATTTTCTTTAACCATACTAGGAAACAAAATTTTTCTATCCTCATCCCATGATACTATAACACAATAGCTACTAAAATTACAGATTTCCTAATGTTTTAGACATATTTTTCCTATTTCTAATATTGTACCAAAACACCAACTTAATAAATATAAATCATAATATAAATTTTTAATAATAAATGTAATGCAACCAATTTCAATTTGTGTATATTATGCTATCAATGAATAAAATATCACTGTTCTCAAATAAAAATTGGGCCGGGGATTTAGCTCAGCAGTCCATTGCCTGCCTCACAAGCTCAAGACCTGAATTCAATGCCTGGTTCCAAAATAAAAATAAAAATAAAAATAAAATTGGTAGACATATCCTACACTTTCCTTAACTTCATAAGTACTCAATTACTATTTAAAAATTGACAACTACTTACTACAAAAAAGTCAGTAACTGGTGAATCAAAAGCATACCTTTTAATTAAAAACAAGAGACAGGGCTGGGGATTTAGCTCAGTGGTCCTGCTGCTTGCACTGCAAGCACAAGGTCCTAAGTTCGATCCCTGGTACAAAAAAAACCCACCACCAACAAAAAACCCCACAAGAGATATATTTATGATGATGTTTATGGATATAAAAAAATTAATATTAATCCCCCCCAATTTTTCACCATTTCAAAACATTGAGCCATCAACCAAAGAATCCTTGTGAATGCATTTAAAAGTATACAACTATGGATGATATAAAAATTTTTTTGGTACCAGGGATTGATCTTGGGTCCTTGCATTTGCGAGGCAGGTGCCAGAACCACTGAGCTAAATCCCCAGCCCTGCATCATATAAAATTTTAACTTAATATGAAGTAAAAAAGGAGAATTATATTTAAGCTATGTGAGACTGTATTTTTAGATAACAGGAAGAGAAAGAAAAATTAAGTATTACTTGACAGGACAGTGGAACTGAAAGTAGCTTCTATGTTTATTTCCCATATTATGTTAATGCAATATCTTTATAAAACTCAAACAAAAATTGTTAAAGAATATATTTTTCTAAAGTCATGCTAAAATGCACACAACATAAAAATTTCCATAGTAACCATTTTTTTTTTGGGTACTGGGGATCCAACTTGGGACCTTACGCTTGTGAGGCAGGCGGTGGCACCACGGAGCTAAATCCCCAGCCCCATAGTAACCATTTTTAAGTGTACAGGTCAATCACATTAAGTCAAATAACCTTTCAAATAACTTTTTGAGTATGGGGATCAAACTTGGGGCCTTGTGCTTGCAAGGCAGGAGGTAGATCCTCAACTTTTAAAAATGCAGGTAGCATTTTAAATAAAATAAAAGATTATTTGTCATTAATTGTTCAGTGATCTCAATGTATCTAGTATGTAACTAAAGTCATAAACCTTTTTCTGAAAAGTTGGCAGATTATAAACATAAAGAAATTAGTCTGTATCTTTCAAATTCAAAGATGTTATAAGAAAAGGTCACTTTGATATTAGAGTTGGATTAATTTATTCCAGTTATTCATTTTACTATAAAAAAAGGTGATAAACATGTGTTCTAATAAGAGTAAGGACTCTAGAAACATAAAAATATTAGTATAACTAATTATACCAAATATATTCAGAGAATTTGAAATTTACTAGTGGTTAAAGAGTTTTATTCGTTTTTTTTCTTTATTGGTACATTTTAGGTATACAGTATAGTTACATTCATCATTGGGATCATATCTTGGTTCTTATTTTTTCTCCATTACCCTGCCCTCCCTTCTTCCCTATTTACAAAGACTTTGTTTCCTTTTTTTCTTTCTCCTTCTTACCTGTTAAAGAGTTTTATAAAAAGGACTTTTTACCTAATATTCTTGGTCATGAAATTATAGTTTTAGGCTCTGGATTAACTATTACTTGGAAGATTTAAACACACGTTATAACAAATATTTAAAAAATGTCTTTCTAAAATGTCCCATCTAGGACCAATAAACTTGCGTGCATCATTGTTTTATAAGAATTACATATACATTTAGGCTGGCGATTTAGATCAGTGGTTCCACCATGTGCCTTGCAAGCACAAGGTCCTGAGTTCGATCCTTTGTACCAAAAAAAAAAAAAAAAAAAAAAAAAAAAAAAAAGAATCACATATATATTTCAAGTTATTTTCCTTCATTGAAAGAATGTCTTAATAACTGACCAAAAATTTGCAAGGATGAAGAAAAGAACAAGGGGAAAAAGTGGAACTGGAAAGAAATTTTGTTTCCTGCATCTTTAGGAAAGGTAGTTCTTCATTTAGGAAAAATCATCAGGCTATGGAAGTAGCTCAGTGGTAGAGGACCTGCCTACCATGCCTGAGGCCCTGTGTCTGACCCTTAGTACGGGGCAGGGGGTCACTCAAAAACACAGTTAAAACTATGACCAAAGGGCATACCAAATTTCAACTAAAAAAGCACGGTAAGTAATCATCAGCTAGGAAAAATTCAAAGTGATGAGCATTTTATGAAAAACAATAAGGATGGCTAATTTAAAAAAGGAAATACTGGCATTCATCCCCTAATGATTCATTTACTATTTCTACATTCCTTAAATTCTCATAAGCTGTATCAGAACAATTAGTCTTACAGGACAGGAATGCATTTCAGTAGCATTAAAAAGCCAAGTGAGAAAGGGTTACCAATTCTAATAGTAGCTTTTCCTTTTCGACTACTTCCTAGAATTATAGTTCTCTTTTTCTGTTTAGCAGTTTTAGGTGATTCCTTCACTGATGGAGAAGTCATCCACTGGTACTAGAAAAGAGATACAGGTAATTTCAGTTACAGCTAATATGTAAGTGTTTGATCTTAACTAGAACTATGAAGATATCATAAAAGCTTTGCAACTTGTCATTCTGGGACCTCAATTTAAAAAAAGCTCACAAGATTTAAACATCAGAAAACAGTTCAAGATAAATTCTAATAAAATTTATTGTATATTAACAGATCATGAGGTTGACATAATCATAGAGATGAATAGGTGTCTAGTACACTTGCTAAAAATAGACTGATTACAATACAATGAAGCAAATACGGCATTGCCAATTTTTATTTTCAAAAGTGCATTAATGAATGTATAGCAATAGCAGGAAATCATTTAGAATGGTTTTCACTAAACTGTCTTAAAACTTCCTGGCAGTAAGATGCTGAGCACATTCTTTTTGTTTAAGACTATTTTCTGACTTGTGCTATCATAAAATATTTCTAAGCAGTGGAAATTAAGAGCTGTTATAGGCACGGGAGGTGATGGATATATTAATAGGTGGGCTGTAGTCATCATTTCACAACATGTATGTATCTCCAAACATGATGCTGTACACTTTAGATATATGATTTTGTTAATTATACTCAATAAAAGAAACTTTTTGTAGAGGACTAAAACACGTTATACCTCTGACTTAGCACTCCTTCCATTCTGAAGAACTTTTTTGATAACTGCTTTCATCATAGAATGATCTAAAGTAAAATGAAAGTTGAAACTGTATTAGCTGTTTTCCAATGAATGGCTAGGTCCATTTAAAAACAAAAGCCAACTAATTATTGTTTTTTCCATAAAATTAAATATTAAGCACATATATTTAATTATATACTTATTTCCCCCTTGAATATTCTAACTTCTTTACTCAAAAACAAGATGAAAGCTTGTTACTTTGCATATTGTCCCCTAGTGGATACTAAATTGGAAGCAGCAAAGATCAAATCTAACATGGCTTTGGACATCTTCAGATAGAAAATCAATGCCCTGGACACGTCCACATACTTAAGATACCTAAAAGGCAAACTAACTTAGTCAAATAAAGGTCATGTGCATCTCTCGAATGACCAGTGATGTTGAACATTTTTTCATATATTTGCTGCGTTTACTTTTTTGTCTGACAAATGTCTGTTCATTTCAGATGTCCATTTTTGAATTGTCTTTGTATTTGGGGGGACTGAGATAAAGCCTCAAAGCTGCTTCTCCCAGCCACCTTTTCGTGGTCAGTGAGTGGTACAGCCCAGTTATGTACATATAAATCTAGGACATTTTAAAAATTACTGTTCCTTCATATCCCACACCTCATCTATGAGAAAGTCTTCTTTGTTACACTTTGCTTTAACCCCTTTTCATCACCTTCAACCTTCCACCCTCAGTTCAGCCACAACCACCTTTTGCTTGGCTCACTATGATGGGCCCTCTCTGGTCTCCGTTTCTCTTTTTATCCTTGCCGATAGGCAGGCCTGTTCTCCACTCTAAGGTCATCTGATGGAAACAGCCCTCGGATCATGCTTTTCTCCAGCAAACTTAGCACAGTCCAATTCCCTAGGCTGGCCTTCAAGATCTTAAGATATTGGACCCCCGGCTCACTGTTGGATTTCATAGCACATCAGGTTTGCCCTCACTCAGTGTCACCCATACTGGGCTCCTTGAGGTCCATAAAACACCCCACCCGCCATGCGACATGCATGTGCCTTCGTGCTTACTGCTTCCTGGTCCTGGAATGTACTTTCCCCAGAACTTTCATGGTTTGCTCCTCTCCTCACTCAGGTCTCTGTTCATGCCCCCTAACAATCCTATCTAATATAGTCCCACCGGCCCCATCTATCTTATCCTAAGGTATTTTTGCACTTTCCACTATTTAAAATTACTTACCTGTTTACTCATTTATATCTAAATTTCCTCCCTAGAATGTAAGCTTTATGAAGGCAAGACTTTCTGTCTAGCAGGTTAACTGCTACCTGCATAGGTGCCTAATTATCAGGGTTCACACCTATTCAGAGCAGCAGCCAAGAAAAATTTACAAGTACAACTCATTTCAATCAGCAAAAGTTATCTGCTAAAAACAAAGAACTATAAAATGAGAAGTTTAGGAAGCTAAATATACACAGGTTAAAAAATTGTCAATACTTGAACAAATTATTTTTCTTCTACTATTTGTTAATCAGTACAAAATAAGTGGTGACATACCAATGAGTGGGTTTCTTCTTATGTCCAGAACCACCAGAGTTCTGTTGGTTTCCAGGGCCTCTAGTAAAGCCTGGGCTCCGTCATTGGTGAGGCCGCACTGTTGCAGGTCAAGTGCTTTTGATGAAAAACAGTGAGTCATTTGCCAACTCTACACAGATTTAGCAATACAGACAGCTCTCCTTTACACCCGGGAGATTCTTAAACAAGACTAGTCATGGCAGGTGTTTTCAATCTTGAGTATTGAAAGAAGCAGAACACCATATACAAATATATAATCTTGGGGGAAAAAATGCCCAACACCCCCCAAAACCCTACTTTTTTTTTTTGAGACAGGGTCTCACTATGTAGTTGACACTGACCTAGAACTCACTATGCAGCCCAGGCTGGTCTCAAACTCACAGCGATCCTCCCGCATCAGCCTCCCGAGTGCTGGGATAGGCGTGCGCCACCACACCTGACAACCCTACTTCTTGAATGTGCTACAATTATCCTCCCTTTAGTACGAATAAACATATTTTACAATCACAGAGTTGAAAAGTAACTGCACAATCTATGAGAACAACAACAACAACAACAAAAATCACAGAATGACTATCAGTTCACATTAGTAAAGATGCTAGTGGCAGAATAGAAGCCACAGGCAAGTACTGGGTAGAGATCAGAAATTATACATATTCCTTGAGCATGATCTGGAACTCAAAAGAAATCTCTAAAAAATATATTTTAAAAGTCAAAAGAAACATTAACAACTATTAGCTGCAAAAGTAAAAATGACAAGAAAATTGAAGGAGACACAAATAATACAAAGAATTTATTAATGAAAGCTGGGCGGAACTTCCAATAAAATGGTGGAGTGGTGAGCAGAGGGAAAGAATCTCTCCAGGATCTGGTGTCCAGACACTGGACATGAGGAGGAGAAGGAGGGAAACGGGTGCCTGGGGCCAAGGAAGAACCTGAAGAGAGAACTGAAGTCCATGTTGAGAGGACTGAATGAAAAAGAGGGAGGCAGCAGCCTGCACTTTCTCCCAGAGCATGGATTCAGTGGGAAGCTACAGAGAGACACACAGTGACTGCTGGTGACCCCAGAGGGCTCCATGGAGAAATACACCAGTGGAACAGAGCAGTAGATGCACCAGACTCCGGTGGCTGGTGAGTTATTTGGGCTCAGACATCACCCAGGGAGGGCGACTAGCCAGTAGCCATCTTGGAGAGGAGCCAACTGAGCTCAGAACCCAGAGCAACTATGTCCGACTCTATCTAGTAGCTTCTGGTATTGTGGTGAGGGTGCCAAGTTCGAGTCAACAGGAGGTCAGGGCACAGAGTTCAAGTTTGGAGGAGGCACACAGACTGTGGCAGATTCAACAAACCCGTTTCCCAGCCTCATAGCCAGAAACCAGTCCAAACTTCAGTGGAACTAAAGATCCAGGCTTGCTGGGAATGTCTACAAACCCAGCATAAATCAACAGCTGACTTGCTGGGATTAAACAACTTGGATTTGGACTCTATCTGTCTGTGTGTACTACTTCAGCCAAGGTGACATAATTGTGCTAATCAATTGTTCTTCCTGTTATACCAAGACTGAGTTTGCCTAAAGGTCTTAAAAAATACTGTAGGACAGTGCTAAAGAACAAGGTACTGGGCCAAGTACGCAGAAACTTTTCATCCCCAATAAAGTGAAGTGGTAGAACAGTTTCAAAACCCAAGAGTCAGCTATAACTGGAAGAAACCTCTGAGAAGTCATTTCCTGAAGGTTCTGAATACTAACAATAAAACTACTTGCCATAAGCAATCTATAAACATCAACACAGGAGTTAAACAGAAAAGCAAAGCAAAGCAAAGCACAGCACAGCACAGCACAGCAAGGGAGAAGAAACTTAAACAAGCTGTAACCGCCAGATTTTCAGCTCACCAAAGGAAAGCTGGGTGTGCTGGACTATGCCTGTAATCCTAGCTACTCAGGAGGTGGAGACAGGAGGATTACAAGATAGAGGGCAGTCTAAGCAACTTTGCAACACTCAGTCTCAAATTTAAAATAAATAAAAAGAGCTGGTACTACAGCTCAGTGGTGGAGTGCTCCAGGATTCAATCCACTGAATCAAAAAAATAAACAAAACAAACAAATCAAAAAAAGAAGTGTGACCTATCAGACAAGAACAACTATAAAGAACTCTCTCACTGAAAGGTTAAAGAACAGAACAAAGGCTTATCAATACTAATGGTACTAAGGTTGAACAATCTACTCATTTAAACCCAAAATAATCATTACAAAAGTATAAGTATAAAAATGCTTACACAAGAAAAAAACATCAGAGCCTTTTAATTGTGTTTACTATTAAAGTAAAAGAAGTCTTTCACAACCTCCTATTACGGAATGCATGCGTGTCCCCTAAAAATTCAAATGCTAAAACTCTAGTCTCCAGTGTGTGTGCGCGTGCATGTATGTGTTTGTCTCTCTGTCAGATGTGATAAGACAGGAAGACAGCCTGAACAAACCAGAAGAGTATCTGCCAGTGCCTTGATCCTGGACTTCCCAGCCTCCAGTACTGTGAGAATGAATGTCTGTTGTTTAAGTCACCCAATCTACAGTACTAATCTTTAACAACCCAAGCTGGCTAAGATACCTTGTGACACAAAAATAGAAGGTAATTATTCAACTAGCCAAATGATAAAAACTGCCAATAATTCTTACATGCAAATCAAATGACAAATCGCAGCAATGAAATGTGATTTTTCTATCAGATTATGCCAAAGTTAAATAACAAAAGGCTCTAAAATATCCCAACTTTTTTTCTTTCTGCAGTGTGCACGCTAGTCAAATGGTCTACCACTAACTATCTTCAGTCCTAAAATACGCACTCTTCTAATCCAGCAACTCACTTTCTAAGAAGGTGAAAATTCCCAAAGGAAATAATCAGAACTATGAGCAAGGATGTGTAGCAAAGAAATTAGAAATAGCTAATAGATCTAAAAGGAAAGAATAAAGTGTATTATAGCATAATAATACAACGAAACACTGAAAAGTCACTAAAAAATGAAGTGGTAGACTTAAGTTTGATTTATTAAAATGCTCATGATATAGTCTGTGAACAAAGTTACACAATTTGCAGAGCAACCCCACTCAAATTTGGCAGTTCTGTAAAGTTTAAAGATTTTTGTGGTACTCAGGATAGACTGAGGGCCTCATGCATGCTAGACAAGCACTCTACCACTGAGCTATGGCCTCAGCCCTTTTCATTTTTTGAGACACAGACTTGTTAAGTAGCCCAGGCCAGCCCTGAACTTATGATTCTCCTGACTCACCAAGTAAGTCAATGGAATTACAGGCATATGCCACCACCATTCTACTTTTAGTAATTTATCCTATAGAAGAAACTCCTAAGTCTAGGAAGATGTACACATAAATTATTCACTTCAAAGTCATTTACAAAAGGGGGAAAGAATAATCTAAATATGAAAGAGCAGAGGATTAAGCTACTATGCACCAATATAATGGTGTACTACACAGCATATATCATTAAGCCAAAAAAGTAGGTTACAAAATAGTAAGCAAAAATTCTACTTTTGTAATTTTTAAAGGTACAAATGTATCTCTAAACAGACTGAAAGTGTGTGCTAACATAGATATATCAGGGTGTTTTGATTATAAGTAATATTGTCTCCTTGTTTGTTTTGCATTTTCTGTGAAGAATGCATGCAACTTTCATAAAACTTTAAAACTACAATAAAAGCCAAGAAAAAAAAGGCTTCAGAAAATATTCTCATTACAATATTACAGTGCCAAGAGCCAAACACACTTGATATTAAAAAAAATTCATTATCTTCAACTTTGGAGTTCATTTGACTCACCTCTAAGCCATAAATCCTCACTAAGAGAATCTGCAAAAGCACGGGCACCCAGGTCCCCAACAAGCGTGTTGCAGTTCAAAGTGATGCGCCTCAGGCCAGCCATGCAGTCAAGATCAGGCCTCCTATAGCGAAGGCTCTCAGCCCATGTCTCCTCGTGTCTTCTCATCACCTGGTACTTCAGAGACAACAGCATGAAACTAAGACAGCTGAGTAAGAAGACAGAAAAACTACAAGGAAACTAAACATCGTTGATTATGTCGGTGCTTTCTTCATACACACACACACACACACACACACACACACACACACACACACACTCTCTCTCTCTCTCTCTCTCTCTCAGAATGTTAAACAGTCGATTCTGGTTTAGAAATCCAGGGATCCAGACGTGAGTCCACATTAGCTGTATAACTCCCACCGGGCGATCTGTTGCAGATTAGTTATGTAAACTGATAAATCAATTAACTTTAAGAATTTTATTTTCCTTATCTGACAAGTTCCAGAACTAGTTTTAAATTCTGTAACTGCTGAACCTCTAAATTTATCATTTTGTCCTTCAGTAATCTCCAAACACATCTCTTATTTATTAATAGTTACATACAGGACACTCTGTATAAATATTTATTCACATCTTGAACTATACAAAAAAAACAAATATTATTAGTATTATTATTTTGGGGGGGCATCGGGGATCAAACTCAGGACCTTGAGCTTGCAAAGGCAGTGGCATCACTGAGCAAAACCCGTGGCCCCAACAAATATTATGGAAATAACACAACAATGAATACGAATCCATTTTGTTCTTCCAACCCAAAGGATCTCACATACTTTTTTTAGGACAAGCACACCAACTTTAGCGGCCTAGAAAAATCAAGACCACTCTGAAACACTTTAGGAAATTAATGGTTTGCTTTTTAACATGTCTTAAAGACATACTGCAAATCGCTTCTCTAAACTGTACTCATAAGCCAGGTGTGGTGGCACACACCTGTAATCTTAGCAGTTGGGACGCTAAATTAGCACACTGAAGCAGGAGGATCACCTTAAGTTCAAGGGCCACCTGGGCTACGTAGTGAGGTCAAGGACAGCCTCAACGACACAGTGAGACCCCATCTCCAAAACAACAACTACTCATAAAGTTTTGGTAGTATATAAAACACAAACTTTAATTCTTTTTCTTTCTTCTTTTCACAATATTGGGGTTGAACCCATGGCCTCATGGATGCTAGGCATCTGCTCAACCACTGAGCTACATCTCTAACTCTAAACACTGATTTTAAGAGAAAAAAATATTAGGTTCTTAAACAACAAAAGACTCAAATCTCCTATGATACACTGAAAGGAAAATTAGGCATATTTTTACTAAGAATAACTATATAAAAGCAACACAACGAAATAATAGGAAACACATACTGCTTATTATGTGGGGGGGCACTCTTAGACAAGCTTACTTAACCCTCAGAATAACTGGTAAAGTGTTTTCTTATATACATATTTTAGAGAGGGGCTAAATAATTTGACCATGGTCATAAGGTGTTACATAGGGGAGCCAGGATTTTAGCCTATGCCATCGACTTCATAATCCACACTCTAGACCAGTATCTAAGAGTGAGAGGACTTGCTCTGTAAAGGTCCAAAGTTTTAGTACTCAAGTTTCTGGATTAGGGTAAAAGTAACCATAGTTTGCATGTAAACAACTGGGTGTTGCTGTGTTCCAAAAAACCTTTATTTACAGAAATTGGTGATCAGCTAGGTTTAGTCCACAAGCCAGTTTGTCTATCTCTGACATGTACAAACTGTAAGAGAGGTTACAGAGCAATTATTAAGTGATTTTAGGCCTAAACATAGTAATTATAAAAACTACAAGCTGTTTAGCTCAGTGGTTCCGCCGAATGCCTTGAGTGCAAGGTCCCGAGTTTAATCCCCAGTACAAAACAACAACAAAAACCCCTACAAGTTATTAAGTAGTCAGTACAGTTATAGTTTTAAGTGATCTTTGTTTATACATTACAGCAGTTAAAAAGTACTTGAGTCATTTAGGTAATCTGAAGACTGTAATAGTGTTTCTTTTAGTGCCACAATAATTTAATTAATAATTTAGAAATATCACTCATAACGTTAATTTATGGTTATTGCAGATGTTCCCCACAGGCTGGCTGTGTTGCCAGATGATGGGTTTTGGAAGGTGACTGGATCATGAGGATTCTAATCCACTGATGAGGATAATCTATTAATTAGTTCATAGCTTCTGAGGGCTAAATTAATTTTTCAATGATTTCATAGTCCAGTGGGCTCGTGGGAGGTAGGAACTCACTGGATGAGACAAGTTACTGAAGGGGTGGCCTTGAAAGGTTTATTTTGTCCCCAGCCCTTCTTGGCACCATGAAGTACGCAGCCTCCTCCACCCACTCCCACTGCCATGCTGTGCCTCTGGTACAAGTAACTGAGAGCCCAAATAAACCTTTCCTCCTCTAAATTGTTATTCTCAGGTATTCTGTCACAGGGACAGAAAGCTGACTAACAAGGAAAACTGCTAACAAGAGTAGGGTGTTGCTATGAATGTACCTGATTATGTGGTTCAGCAGCCTCTGGAACTGGTTTGCGATAAGTTCCTTGATGCTATAAGCAGAGCTTAATGGACAACTCTGGTGTGAGCTGAAAAGACCAGGCGGCTGCGAGGAATATGGACAGTAAAGACTGTGCTCCTGAGGCTTTTCACAGGATGAGAACTCTACTGGGAACTGGACTAGAGCATTCTGGCAGAGAACTTATCTACCTTTTGTCTATGTATGGACACCTTGTGTGAAAATAAATTAAAAGTGATGGACTAGGTAATCTAGCAGAGGAAATTTCAAGGATATATAGCACTCAGGCTATGGCATGGGTATTACTGGATGCTTCTGGTCAGACTTAATAGGAGAATCACAAGCAAGCAAAAAATAGAATACAGAGATGTGAAAAACTTGCAGTTTGGCAAGAAGTGTGTATGTTGCTGCTGAAGAGATTAGTAACATTTTAAAAAAGCCAACAACTTTGCACAGAACAATAGGAAAAATGCTTTGAGGGACTCTCATGAGTTGGTGGAAAGGAGCACTGGGAAAGGAGCTCTACCTGAACAGAACCAACTTGGAGTTGTTTCCCTAGGGTTCATTTTACTATGCCCAGCCATCTAGGCAACTAGAAGCCACTGCAGCTATGGGTACAAGGAGTTCCAGCTACTGCTTGAGGTGGTATAGGAATTTGCTGTAACCAGCAAGGCCATAGTGCTGGCCCAGTCTTCTGGAACACATAGCACACCACCATGTGTCCTGGATGCTGGATGTGGACGCAATTTCGTATACGTGCTGCCGAAGCAAGCCCTATGGACGCAATTTGGAATGGCTCTATGTACCCTGCTCCTGTCTCACTGCTGGGTATTGGAAATATGTAACCTGCTTTTTGAATTTTACAAGGGGTGTAGGGCTAAGAAGAAAAAGAAGAGACTTTGAAATTGGACTCTGCAGCAACAGTGGAACTGTAAAGACCCTGGGAACACGTAGAGATGGACTACGTCCATAGGCCAGGGTTGGAATGTTAGGTTTTGGATCTAGAACGTTTAAGTGTTCACAAGTAAGCCTTTTGGGAAGGTGACTGAAGCATGAAGGCTCTAATTGTATCAGTGGGTTAATCCACTGACAGATTCATAATCTGATGGTGTTATTGGGAGGTGACTGAGACTCAGAGGGCAGGGGCAGACGAAGGAACTGGCTCATAGAGACCTGACCTTGGCAACTGTGTCCGGTACTCAGCCCCTCCCCTCCGGCCTTCCCCATTTCTTTGCTTCCTGGATGACGTCAGTTGCAGGACCTCCTCTACCAAATACTCCCACCATGATGTCTGGCCTTTCCCCAGGCCCGAAGTAATGGAGCCCACTGACCATGTAATGAAAACTCTGAAACCATGAGCCAAAATAAAAATTATTTTGTTACAAGGACAAAAAGCTAACACAATGCATTATACTTTAACACGTCTACAATAGGGCTATAATTTGCATGTCTTGCTGCTGGGCAGCTTGAACTACCATTGGTACATGCATGACAGATCCATCGGGCAGCTTTTTATTAACTTTATTAGTTAAAAGATTGCTGAAAGTGATTAGATCTGGTTTTATCATCAGTGGCACAAGCCACCCAATCATAGTCATGCATTGACCACTAAACACTGGTCACAGTCTTTTTTTTTTTTTTTTTTTGGTACCAGGGATTGAACTCAGGACCTTGCCCTTGCAAGGCAGATGGCAGCACCACTGAGGTAAATCCCCGGCCCAGGTCACATTCTTTTAATGAAACTAAAACTACAATCACCATATGAATAAAAAAGACAAAATATTCCCATCTCACATGAAAATATTAATGAGCTTCCATTACAGTAACACAGTTAACACAATTTTGAACTAACAAATCACCTTTAAGATCTTGGCCATGTGATCTGCTCCCTGCCACGTCAGATTACACTCTGTGAAGTTGACTGTCTTAAGAGTGATAGAGTTCTTTATTCCTTGACAAATAACTAAAAAGAAATAAAACACACACATACACATATATAACAAGATGAAAAACTTAATCTGGTCACTCTTGGTTTATCCACTTATATCTACTGTAGTTTACTATTGTATTTTTAACTTCTGAAGCAACTGGTGCAATCTAAACAATGTGAGTAAGAGTTATTCCAGTTTACAATAGTTTAATTCTATTTAGATGCTAAAATAGAATACTCTGAATATTGCAAATTTATTCCCTTCCTACAGTAATGTACTATGTATCTTTTGAGACACCTGGAGAAGAAAAACCTAGAAAGTCTAACTCTCCCTGTTTTTTCATTTCCAAAGACAAATTTTGACTTCACTGTGTCCACTATAAACTCAGATTCTATACTGCTAAACTAAAGCATTACCATACTGAGCAAGGAACATAAAGGACTTCAAGCTGTTTTCTCAAATCGAAATTCAGGCTTCCCTATTACTCCAGGCCAGGATTCTGCAGTGAACACATACTCATACTCAGCACCCCATCACAGCCACCCTTTGTGAGTAGGTCCTACGACTCTCCCTTCATCAGTTTGCCCCCCCCATTTTTTTTTTTTGGTTCCAGGGATCGAACTCAGGATCTTGCACTTGCAAGGCAGGCAGCAGAACCACTGAGCTAAATCCCCGGCCCTCGCTGGCCTTTTATATGCACCTATAGTATTCTGCATACATTTTCTATCTTGGCACATACCACAGTGCATTATTGTTTCTTATTTAAAAAATAATTTTTTCTCTTTATATCTTGCTATTGCCTACCCCAAACAACCTTAGAAAGTGAGCATACACAAAAAACAAGAGGATACTAAACATCACATATTTGTGTGACATGTGTCTTAACACAATGTGACATAAAGTAAATTCAGAGTATTCATCATGACCAGCTTTCACAAGTGAGTATGGACCAAGGTTTGAACAGGCATGGGAGGCAGTGCAGCTAAAGGCAGCAGGAAGGAAAAGACAGATAGGGATTAACATAGCATATAGGCAAATATGAGGCCAGTCTGATGGGATAAGAATTAAACAAGATTTAAACTCACTTTCTAAACCTCCATCTCCAATTGGGCAATTTGCAAGAGACAGATGCACCAAAGAAGTCGATTTATTCAATCCCTTAAAAGAGGAAAAAAGTTAAAAATTTGTTGAATACCCCCCGACCAAACACTATCAAATGTTTGCAGGCCACACCACAAAAGGCTTTACCTTTGTTAAAATAGTTAAATCTCTCTCTCTCAGAAGTAGTCCATTTAGCTCGAGGTTCCTCAGCACACTTGATATATTTAAACAGCCTTTAAGAGCTTTACATAACTGGAAGGTCACATCTTTGGATCTTATCGCAGGAACACGACTTCTGTAAACTTTATTTATGTTAGAACCTAAAGCAGAGTTATTGTAAAATTAGTGATCTCCTCTACATCATTAAAAACATCTGCTCAGGGCCGGGGATTTAGCTCAGCGGTTCTGTGGCCTGCCTTGCAAGCGCAAGGACCTGAGTTCAATCCCTGGTACCAAAAAAACAAAACAAAACAAAACAAAACAAAACAAACATCTGCTCAGAGCTAAGGCGTAGAACTGAAACAGATCCTTAAAGCCTTAAAGTCCTTGTAAGGACCGACACACGATAACGCACACGGATATGGAAACACAAACCACGTTGTACACAGAGGTTCTTACAGAGGCAAACAAGTTGTGCTCAAGGTATGGCTTCAAGAGAACTGGGAAGCTGAACCTAGAAATATGAAAATGGGGTCGGAGTGAGTGATGTGTCTGCCACAGAGGGAGTGGAGCGTGTGAACGCATAGGAGCCTGACACAGCCAGGCGCCAGAAATACTGTAGGTGACACGGCAGTACCCCACAGAGGCAGAAGAAAAGAACCGGAAATGGAGAGAAGGATGCCGAAGAAAGCCCGGGAAGGGGTGGATGTTGACTGGCACAATAAGTAATCGGGAAGGTTAGAAAAATGTGCCCTACTGCTGGAGGCCCAATGAAAGGGACTGACTAGAAAAAGGCACCTGCTTCAGAAAGATCAGGACAAAATACACCTTCCTCCAGGGATAATTAGCACCAAGACTTGCAAACAAATGCACAGATCAGATTTCAGCGCTTCTGTGAAGAACCCGTCCTCTGTGGGTGAGTCACTTAAAAGCATTACTGTAAGTATACTGTTTTCCTCTTTGCAGAACTGGGGATTGAACATAGGACCTTCATACTTAACTGTATCCCCAGCCCTTTTTACATTTTTTAAGACAGAGTCTCACTAAGTCACTGGTTCTAAGATGGGGCTTGAACTCAAAATCCCTCTGCCTCAGCCTCCCAGAGTGCTGGGATTATCAGTGTGCACCGCAACCACAACACACTAAGTATTTTTTCATTTTAGAAAGGATCACTTGAACTGCAGTAGGCAGATGAACGGAAAGGAATTGAGCCCAGGGGCAGCAGAACCAGCTAGGAGCTTCTGCAGGCAAAACAGATTTAAGAACGAACAAGTGATGGCTAGGAAGTTTTAATCTACGGTTTACACCCACTGGATGCAAGAGATTAGGATTCCACAAAGACTATCTAAAGAGAAATGGCCTGTAACATGTTTTTTCTTATATTCGGTATAAAATATCAGACAAGATCAAGTATGCTTGCCTTGATTCTACGTTTCCTCTCACCTTTCATTTCTTTTGATTTGTTACGATCCTGGTTAATTAAAGTCCCTTCAAAGGTGCAGAATACATTTAACACCTGAAGGAGGGCCAGAGAATGCTTTACTTCTCTCAGAAGTGGTGTGCAGAACTACCTCTGCAGAAAAGGTCACAGTCAGTGCTAACCTTGGAGCCTAGAAAGGGGCGAGGCCTAGGACAAGTGGTCAGGTTTTTAAATCAACAACTACTTCCTCCTGTAGGTCTGCACACCTCCCTCTTGGTTGGGTACTTGCTCTCTGGATACAAACATATTCAAGGCCATACATTTTGTGTGTGTGTGTGTGTGTGTGTGTGTGTGTGTGTGTGTGTGCGTGTGTGTATACAGGGATTGAACTCAGGCCCTTGTGCTAGTGAGGCAGGTGGTAGAACTACTGAGCTAAATCCCCAGCCGCCATACATTTAAAAAAAAAAATCTTTTGGAGTCTTTAATTTTCTGTCTTCAGTCCTGTCTGAGGGCAACTCAGTACTCTCTGCTGCCTTCACACACCTATCCTCCCCACACCCAACCTGTATACTGGCCCAGCCTGCCTAACAGAGACACATCTGGATGGCAGTGAAAAACAGATGCTGTTATCACACTACTCCTGCTGTGCTGCCTCTCAGAGGCCACTCAGGGCCAGGGATTTAGCTCAAAGGTTCTGCCTCACAAGCGCAAGGACCCAAGTTCGATCCCCAGTACCAAAAAAAAAAAAAAAAAAAAAAAAAAAAAAGAGGCCACTCAAAAGTGCCACCCAAGCCTGTGGCCCTCCCTCTAAGTGGTCACCAGTCATCTTCCAGAATATCTGGAATCTAACACTTCTCCATACTTTAACGTGGGCCGATTACAATCCACTCTCCTTCCAATTTGAATTTGCTTTCCATTCGGTGGACATCATGTGCTCCTAAATCAAGAGTCCACCTCAACATCCTTCCGTGGCTCTCTCTTCACCACCTATTTGACCTCACCTGCTCCCACCAAGTTCCTAGTCTCAACTCTGTGAAACCCTAAATTTCAGTCCCGAAATCCTGCCGGCCATCTTCTCTACTATTTCCAAGACTTTTACACTAATTGCTCCGACCGGTCATCTGGCTGGCTTCTTCTTTGTTTTCTTGCTTCCCCCCCAAGTCAGGGGAGGAGCAAATTTAGGTCACGGTGGCACCAGACACACACAACCTGCTTTAACAGTACAAAGTTGTTCCACTGCTTTTGTATAGGAGAGAATTGTAGTTCAAGAAATAACTTGCTGAGGTGGAGTGTGGTGGCACACGCCTGTGATCCTAGCACTTGGGAGGCAGAGGCAGGAGGATTGCTCTGAGTTCAAAGCCAGCCTGCGCTACACAATGAATCCAAGGGCAGTCTGAACTACAGTGAGACCCTGTCTCAACCCCCCACCCAAAGAAGTAACTTGCTCCAGATCACAGACTGGAAGCTCCAGAATTCAAACCAGAGGCTGCCTCCAATACCTGTGTGCTTTCCCGCTATGATGCTACTCTTAAAAAAACTAACATGGGCCAGGAATTTAGCTCAGTGGTGCTGCAAAAGTCATGAGTTCCATCCCCATTACCAAAAAGTCAAAAAACTTAAAAAATTAAGCTGAATTTGAAAACAGTGAGTAACTATACAAAATGTTTTAAAAAGCTGTCCCTGAATGGGAGAAGATGGAATGCCTTTTGTCTCCTTATCTACTTTTCTTCCTTTTTACTGTCAACTATTCTGCCTGTAATCCAGAGTGGGAGAGTAGATATCAAATTTAAGACTTAAAGACGAAAGAGAAACTAGGAGAAAAAGCATTAAGAAGTGGAATCGTGTATCCCAGCAGGAAATCCTAAATACTGCTCCCCAGGGAGCCGAGTGGTCCTAATCCCAGTGGTAGGGCACAAGCTTCAGGGTCATGGCTCCTCCAGCCAACTGCCTGAGGTGTGGAAACTGCAGGGGCAGGAGAGCCAGCCTCCAAAATAGATCTAAAACACTGCTTTGGGACAGCTCAGCCTCCCTTCAGAGACTTTCACATCCATCCCTAACAAAATCTTCTATGCTCATGTGATGGTTACCAGTGAGAAAATGTGAGCTTCTTTCTGTTTCCCTATTATGTACAGAAAGTTGTGCTAAGTGCTAGAAAGAATAACACCATTTTGTCGCGTACCGTGGTTTACCTGTTTTCCAAGTAATCATAATGTCTGGGTTCCCAACTACATCACACTACCTCTGTAAGTGGAACACATGAGTAAGGTGCTTATTCTTTCATATGTATTTCTGAATAAGAGGCTGAAATGCATTTGCAAATAACTTGCCGAGGCAAATCCTACTCGCTTATTTCCCTATCAGAAATTAAAGAAGACACTCAATAAATGGGTTAATATTTGCCCAATGTTTCTTTTCTTTTTTGGTATTGGGGATCGAACTCAGGACCTTGCGCTTTCGAGGCATGCACGGTGTCATCTAGCTAAATCCCCGGTCCCCACAAGCTTTCAGTTTTTAAAGGCAGAAAAACCACTATTTAGTTGATGACAAAACTCATTGCTTATGGTTTTTAGACTCAATTTTTTGTTCAAATAAGTGGTAAAAATGTTTCCGGATGCTCATGGCTCCCAAACTACTAAGCGTTCTAGGGATCAATAACCCAGGGAATCCTTGCAATCTCCCCATAACGTGGGTCAGGTTATTAGGGCCTGGTTAAGAATAAGAATACGAAATCCCAGACATCTTACGTGACTCACCGGGGTCGCCCAGTAAGTAAGAGTCCCAGGTCCCAGTGCCGCGCACCCAGGGGCCCCGGAAGCCGCACAACAAACCTGTTTCCCCAAGCCACGGCTGGAAGCAGCTCCGGATGGAGATGAGGGGCAGGTCTTTGTTGGTCTTGAGCGTGCTCAGCAGAGGCGCCCAGTCCACCACGCGGAGGCGGTCGGCGTTAAAGTCCAGCACGCCCTCCCGGAGGCAGGCGCGCACGGCGGGCAGCGGCACCGAGTCCTGCAGCGCGCAAAGGTACTCGTAGTGCGAGAAGAAGTCGGCCGCGCTATCACGGCGCAGCTTCACCGAGTCGATCATAACGGAGGACCAGGAGGGCGGCCCCGCAGACGGCGCCCGC